ACACAATGATCCCTTTTAATGACCCAGTTTGATAGTCTCAGCCCCTCAAATGGTTGAAATAATAGAAATAATTTAGTTGGGATTTATTTCTTATATGAAGGTAGTGCTGATAGTACAAAGGTATGTTGTGCTGAGAAATCATTTTGCTCAGTGTTTATGACGAAATATGAAGGTCCGTAAACTGCTGAGAGGTCATAATAAAGATGGGAAAATGCACGGTTGGCTCCGAGAGCCGTGTTGCGACTACTGTAAGTGATAGAAAGCAGAAAACTGGAGCTAAGTTTTGCATGGCAGGATTCCTGTGCACTCTAGCTAATTACATATTTCACATGGATGACTTTAATTCAAATGAAAAGTGACTAGACCCTATAAGGAGCGTCCACTGAGATTTGCTGCTCTTCAGTTGATTTCTACCACCTGGGATTTCCCTTTAAAATATTCGTCTGTCTTGCCGAAGCCGTGCCAGGCTTAATTTAGTATCTCCGTGGATGAACGGAAAGCAAACGCTGCCCTATATGGACACGGCGGACGGCCAAGATCATGTGAGAGGTTTAACCTCGGCGTGATGCACCTCCGCTGCCCATGTGTGGACAGCAGAAATCATGGGAGTGAAGTCGCCCTGGCAACAGGCCTGCATCATCGTGACCTCTCCCTCCGTCTCCGCTCTCGCGCCGCAAACAAATGACTGCAGCGAGTGCCACGCTCCGGCTGATGTCACGGGTATCCATGGCAACCGGAGCTCAGCTGTGATGCTGCAGAAGAGGGGGTCTGACCGGAGGGGTGAGAAACAGGAGCGCCAGAGAAATGCCGCGGGAAGTGTGATACTGCTGTGACGGAAGCTTCGGAAAGCCACATTCCTGACCATATTCAGAAAATGACCATATTCAATATATATCTCAATATAATTACGTGCTTGCCTTGAAATTCTTATATAGCTGAATCAGCATTTCAACCAAACAATCATTGTTGCCAAATAGATTTAAACGGTTTCATGCAAGAAGTAAAATATTATATCTAGGTAAAAATGAATACAAAGATAAGTAAAACAATTTTCAACAGTTTTTCACTGAACGAAAACAAGAAAGAATAGTATTTAATCATTTTCATTTAAATACAAGAATATATAGTGATATATAAACATATATAAAATATAATAATAAAATATATACAAATATATACATATATTTTTACTAAATAATTTTATATAAATATATAAACGGCAACATTAATCTTCATACATGTTAACTAAAACATTTTTATATAAAATTATAAGCAACAACATTAATCTACATATATTTTAACTAAAACATTTAATATAATATAAAAAATATATAAACAGCAACATTAACATATATATTTTAATAAAACATTTTAAAATAATATAGAAATATTAACAATAATCAACTTATATTTTTTAGTAACATTTATTAATATAATACATAAATATATAAACAGCATCAATCCACATTTATTTTAACTCAAACATTTTAATATATTATTTATAAACAGTAAAATTATTCTACATATATATTATTTAAAACTTTTCAATAAACAATATAAATATGAACAATTATCTACATAAATTTTTAACTAACAATTTTTAATACAATACATAAATATATAAACAGCAATATTAGTCTACATATAGGCTCTATCATTTCAATATAATTTATAAATATCAACAATAATCTACATATATTTTTAACTAACACATTTTAATATATACAGCTATCAACAAAAATCTACAAATATTTTTAACTAACACATTTTAATATAACACATACATTTATAAACAGCAACATTAATCTACATATTTTAATTAAAACATTTTAATATTTGGAAAAAAAAAAAAAAATCCATGAACACTTGAGTGATAATGCAAAGTCTTGAATTAACTCACTTAGACTGATTCACAGAAATTAATTAAACGTAATTTCAAAGTTTTAGAATCAGAAACGCTATTAAAACATTAATAGAAAAAAACATCTTAAATGACAGGCAGTTTCGGAAACTTAATGACCAGACACAAAGTGCACTTAAAATCGCTGCAATATCCATGATGTGGCTTAATTTGATCGCCCCACCCAAGCTTGAACTAATCAATCTAAATCCATAATGCACTGGAAAGCAAACGGATAACACACAGTAGCTTACAAAGTGAAAAACTCTTCTTTGGTGCATCTCACACACACCGAAAAGCACCTCCCGCCATCCACAGCAGAACTAGTTTTGTTTATATTTCCACCAGCGATGAACATCTGTTCACGGTTCCTGACCAGAGTTCTGCTGTGTAACATGAGGCTAATAGAGCGGCGCTCACACAAACACACACACACACTGGTTTAATACTACACCAGCGGGGTCACACTGACGGTGTACAAGCTTGCCAAACCGTGTGCCTGCCCTCCGCACGCTCATTAGGCCAACTCTGCCATGGCATGTCAACAGATGGTGCTTAAAAACAGCAAGAGCTCAGAAAGAACATAAAAAAACAAATAAACAAGTGAAACTAACTTTAACAAGGATACAAATGCTCTATTTAGATGCAGATTCAATGTGTTAATTGGCTTCGAACTTCAATTCTCTGCGCCAAACCGAAACGATTTGGCCATCAGTCATATGGACGCTACTTCGCACTTTCGATGACTCACGCTTTCAGAAATCTGCTAATTAGACAACGTTCCCAAAGGACTTGAAGTCTTATGCGAGTCAACATCGCTTAGGCTCGATTCTGATGTCCACTGACTTAGCACAAGTGCTTAAATTTAGCATGCCTGTTGCAATTGGACAGTAACGTCCTGGTTGTCCTCTCTCTTAATACCCCACTGAAAACAGCAGTGAGAGACAGCTGCGTTGACAGAGCGCTAATTAACCTTATAAGACCATTCAGAGAAAGCCGAGCATGTAGGAGGAAGCTCAGTTAGATCTGTGGCCGTAACCTCACTGTGAGCTCCAACAACGATCTGAGCACTCATTAAATTTCATGCAAACCTCCGCAGACAGACATTTCACTAGATACAGATCTGTAGAACGCTTTCCATCGAGCAGCAACTTTGTGGCAAACAAATGAACTCAAGGGACTCAATTGATTTCAATAGAGTTTGATGCTTACATGTTGCTAAATTATTGCGACATTAATCCATAAAGCATAAGAAATACATAGCATTCACAAATATTGGGTAAACCACCAGGAAAATCTAATTGCACCTTTTCTGATCAAATTGCAATAAAAAAGCTCCAGGTTTGCTGTGCTTGTTTGTAAGGCTGCACAATTTGACCAAAGATTTTGTGATTATTTATTTCTTTAACCAGGATAGCGTCTCTGATATTAAAAATCTCTTTCACAGGAGTGTCATCTACATTTGCACATTGCAGTGGTTCTCTGCCGATGAGCATTAGCATTTCTCCATCAGCTCGCTGCTGGTTTCGGCATCAGCACAATGCGTAAGGTGCTTCCTGCCTCAACAGCACCCACAACCTGTCTCAGGGGATCACGGGCCAAATTTAGTGAAATATTTAGAGCATGCGTTGTGCCCTACCAAAAATAGATGTGAAACACCGTCTTTGTTCTGCAAAACTGCACGTGCATCATATTTGAATGATTCCCACATGCATGTTACTTTCACTGCATTTGACCCAGAGAGTAAAGCATGTTTCAAAAAGGAAACACCAAACAAGCCAGCTGTGAGTCACAGGTTTTTGTATGCTACACGCTTCACTTCGCACAGAAACAACAGAAGAAGTGCATGACGCGCTTAAAAGAACTCCCAAATATGAAACTTCTGCTATTATTATTTCATACTTGTGTTATTCCACACCCACAAGCTGTTATTTTTTCTGGGGAACACAAAAGGAGATTCACACATCTCTTTTCCACACGGACCATATGAACCAAACAGGCTAAAAAAAACACCATAAAAATAACCCAAATGACTCAACATAAGTCCTCTGAAGTTATACATTAGTTTTCCATGAGAAACAGACCACTATTTAAGTCATAGATTGCAAATAAAATATGACACAGATTAGCCATCAGTTTTTTGTGTTTCGTGGTCAAACGTTATTGAAGTCAAAGTTTATATGTAGGGTTCTATGCGATCCCCCCCCCCCCAAAATATGTTTTATTTTTCCCAAATTCCATTTTTTCCTATTTAATTTTTTTGGATTCCATTTTTTCTGTTTTATTTTTTTAGGGCTTCATTTTAAACGGACCCAAAAATGAAAATTCTGTCATCATTTACTCACCCTCCACTTGTTCCAGAGTTTCTCTCTTCTGTTGAGCACAAAAGAAGATATTTTTGAAGGATTTTGGTAACCAAACAGTTAACGGCAGCCATTGACTTCCATAGTATCTTAAAAAATGGAAGTCAATGGCTACCGTCAAGTGTTTGATGACAGAATGATGACATAATGTTAATTTTTGGGTAAAATATCCCTTTAATGGTTAAATTAAATGTTAATACATTAAAACCATGTCTAATTATTTGAAATCATGAAACTTATACAATTTAACAAAATTTGATTTTTAGGGCCCTATTAAATACATTTGATTTATTTTTTCTTAAATTCTGTTTTATTTTTACCAAATTTTTAAATGTTTAATTAAACTTTAATAATCAAACATCTATGAAATGTTTTGTTTTTCAGAAATTCTGTGTTGTGTATTTACATTGTTCTGGTAATTCCTGATATCATAGGGGTCTACCTTATATGACACATCTAAAGTCACAACATTTGATTTGGGATTTGTGATAATTGATATTTATGATAATTGTGAGAATTGAATTTTCATAAATTACTTATTTAAAACCACTGTATGATTTCAAAAGACTTGGAATATAGCTCACAAGGTGTGCAAACTACTTTTATGGAGATTTCTTATCCTTTTTGGAGGTTGACAGACGTGGTCATTAGGAACATTATTGTATGACAAAGTGACGATGAGTAATTAATGACAGAACTTTCGACTGCTTTAATGTAAGATAAAACCATGAGCAAACCTGAATCATGTAGAGTTGAGCGATGCGGTACTCCTCCACACTCATGGGCATGGGGATGCGGTACTCTTTGATCAGCATGTTGGCCGTGGAGCGGGGCTGGGGCTGGAAACGCTCCGCTGGGTCAGGGCAAATCCACCAGGACGGCCCTTAGCTCGAGTGCATCAGAGAGAAGGAGTCCAGCTCATTTCTCAGACCTGGGCAGAAAACAAAGACAGACAGACAAATCAGACTTGAAAATCATCTATGGACGTCCAGAGGAAAGCTTTTGAGATCTGAGGCATGAATACGGACACTCAAACAAATGAATAAATATTGTGTTCCTCCAGTTAAAATATCTAAATAAAGCATCATCATAAACCGCATACATTTAGCAAGACTTGCTTAAATGCTTAAAGAAAAGAAACCTAATTCAAGATATTTGCTCTAAAAACAAGTCCTGATATCTTGTGCAAGTTTGCTTCTTGACTAAATTTATCTTGCTTGAAGGATCCCGAGATATTTTTACAGTAATACTGATACAAAAATACTGATTAAGAAAATTACACCAGATTTTTAAGTTGTTTTTTTTAAGTCATGCTCCGCAAAAACAGCAAAACGGCAGATTTGAGTTTTAGTTTTTAACTCAAGTGTTGCATAATGTGGTTCTCCAGTGAAAATATCTAAACATAATCAATCTTCATCATAAACCGCACAAGATTTGGCTAAATGCCTAAAACAAAAAAAGAGAGAAACTTACTTCAAGATATTTTGCCTGAAAACAACCCCTAATATCATGTGCAAGTTTGCTTCTTAAGCAAATTTATCTTGTTCTGAAGGATTTTGAGATATTTTTACAGGAAAAAAAAAGACAAAAATAATTTTGATTAAGAAAAAGACTAAAGATGTGTTTTTAAAAGATGAATCACTTTTATTAGGTAAAGTGTCTTTAAAAAGCTGAAAAAAAGCTCAAGATGCTGAAATTTTTTTTGAAAAAAATGTTGAAATATGTTGAAAAAATGTTGAAATATGCTGCAATGGTCAAAGTGGTCTCTAGTCTCTTGCACAAATGCATCCATACACAGAAAAAAAGCAATAGATCTAAGAAAGTCCCAGAGATGCATACGGAGAACCAATGAATATATAAATAATAAAATAAAAACAATAATTTAGAGATTTTGTTTCTAACTCAAGTGTTGCATAGATTCTCTGAAAACAAGTCTTAATATCTTTTGCAAGCTTGCTTTTGGAGTAAATGTTTCTTGTTTGAAGGAAGTTGAGATATTTTTACAGGAAAACAAGACAAAACTACTGATTAAGAAAATTACTCCAGATGCATTTTTAAAAGTTGAACTGCTTTTACCAAACAAATTGCTTGAGAAACTAAAAGACTGCACTGAAAAACATGGATATACTGTATATATATATGTGACCCTGGAGCACAAAAGCAGTCTTAAGTCGCTGAGGTATAAACTCCATATACAAAGTAGCATATTCTATATCACTTATTAGAAATAATTACTTAGAAAACATTATTTCTCATTACTTATTGGAAAACACTGGAAAAGCATCTTCAAACTGAAACGCATACAGTATTTAAAAACGGTGTATTTCTCTGTTTACAAAAGTAGCATATTCTATATTGCTTCATAATCACTCACAAAACCCAAAACCAACAGATGTTCTTTATAATCACACAGGCATTGTGTATTCAGACATAGTAGTCTCAAACACATGCAGCACAACCAACTTGCAATTAATAAATACAGTGTTACTGTACGCCAGCAGTGCTGTAATGGAATCCAACTGTCCAGGAATGACATCTATGCAAACGACTTCCAGAAGAAAAAAAAACTAAACAAAACACGAGGGGCCTCGTTTTGACCTTCGGCTGCCGTAAGAAATGTAAATCCACCTGCTGATGACACAGAGGTCCGGCAGACACCGTAACTCTCCTGCGCTTCCACCGGACGCGTCACATGACACAGGCCGCTTAGTGTAAGACGGATTATCCACAGACAACTTACCCAACTCTTCCCTGAGAGGTAAAGCTGAGCACGTGTGTGCAGAAAGGTGAGCTGGTGTAAACACAGACAACACAGGACTCAAAAACAATCACTGGACATCAACCAAGCAACCATCTCAAGGTTCCCAAGACGGGCCATGTTAGGTGCAACAGCTGTTGGCGCTAAAAACAGCATCCGTGATGAACAATATCTAGCTATTACAATAGATTGTCTGGACCCTCGACGAGTCTCTAAAAATAGCAACAATAATCAAAGGGTCACAAAAGGAAAGGTTAGAGACTAAACGAGTGTTTATCACCACTGCTTCATTCCAAGATACTCCAAAGCTTAGGTATTAATATAGGAAATTATAAGCAATAGTTCACCCAACATTGAAAACTGTCATTGTTTTCTCACCCTCATGTTGTTCCAAACCCGTATTTAATTTTTTATTACTAAATAAATAAATGTATATTTTAAATGCTATAAGTGCACTACTGTTCAAATGTTGGAGATGAGTACGATTTTTTTTTAAGTAATTATATTTTAATTCCGTACAGATGCATTAAATTGATGAAAAGTGACAGTAAAAGACATTTATAATGTTGCAAAACATTTCTATTTCAAATATGTTTTCTATTTCTACTTCATAACATGCTGTTCTTTTGAACTTTCTTTTCAAGGAATCCTGAAATAAAAACCAATCAGTTTCCACAAAAATATGAAGCAGCACAACTGTTTTCAACATTGATATTAATAATAAGAAATGTTTCTTGAGCAGCAAATCAGCATATTAGAATGATTTCTGAAGGATCATGTGACACTGAAGACTAGAGTAATGATGCTGAAAATCCAGCTTTGATCACAGGAATAAATTACATTTTTGAAGACAGTTATTTTACATTGCAATAATATTTCACAATATTAACGTTTTTACTGTATTTTTGATCAAATAAATGCAGCCTTGGTATTTAAAAAAAAAAAAAAAAAACATGTATAGTGTACAAATATAGTGTACATTTAGAAATCCAAACATTATAATATACAATATAAAATACACTATATGTAATTTGATAAAGATTACATTAAACAGTTTTAATAAATTATTAGTGTTATGAAATATTAACTTGTAAGGGTAGATGCTGAAGATCTAAATACAGTAAAAAAAGTCACGCAGGTTTGAAATGAATCTAAATTAAGGAAATTAAATACAATAGTTAAGTGTTTTAGAAAGGATTTTCAACGTTAAAACAAAAGGCTAAAATTACTGCATTTGTTCTCTGTTCACTTATAAATATCAGAATAGGGTTTTGTCATTCTTCCACAGGAAAGACAATAAAAGATCACAACTGGACGGAATTATTGAGAGCAGTAATGGTCAGCGCTGGTGAGTCACAGCTGCCACCACTGGTGCATTTTGGTCTTGAACTAGGTCAGGGACTCGGCAGGGCTCCAGACAAAAAAATCGAGTAAAGAGCCACTGGCTCCTATAAGAAAAAAACGTAGGCGCCAAATTATTTTTTAGGTGCCACAGAATAAACGTGTTTTATTTATTTTATTATTATTATCATTTTTTTTTTTACATTTTAACATTTCAATCATACTGTTATGTGTTTATGTCTCATCTTTTCTTGACTTTATCAGCATTTTAATCCATCTTGTAGATGACCTGGGAACTAAGTTTCACTTAAAGTGGGAACTAAATGTCTTTTCCAACTTATATATACAGTCACAAAGAATTGTTCATTACACAGAATCTGTACCAATATCATAGACCATAGCATCACTTGGCCACTGAGTGTAGTTTGGGCTCCTCCTCAATGCATCCTGTAAATGTTGTCATATACTCTTAAAAATAAAGGTACTTCATGATGCCATAGAAGAATCTTTTTTGTCTAAATGGTTTCATAAAGAACCTTTAATATCTGAAGAACCTTTATGTTTCACAAAAGGTTCTGTGAAGAACGTTTTAAGCACCTTTATTTTTAAGAGTGTATGTCTTTCACACTTTCAGTCTGTTTTTCTTAATTAGTAAAACGCAATTTTATAGTAGGAGATGAATCATGTAGACAACAGGTTAAATAAAAATATTAATATGCAATAGCACATAGATATAGCAAAATGCTCCTCTTTAAAGTTCTTTTTCTAGCTGACTGATGAGCTTATGGACACCGAATGGTTATTCTGAGGTAAATGTAAGCCATATTAGTAATGATTATAAACGAGAATTGTTAACGATATTGCCAATATCCACACAGCTGACAGCTTTTCCTGTTGTAGTTTGTTCAAGTTGTGCATGAAATAGACGCTGCTTTTTTCTGCACTTTCACTTCGCACGTCTCCGTCACTTCGATCTCTCTCGCGCTGCACAACTGAGCCGCGTTTAACAGGTGTGCGTCAGCGCTGCTGTGCTGCAGAGACTAGGACTGTTTGAAACTCTTTTTTCCACTAAAACTTTGATGCGCATTCGGAGCATCGCAGCTACTCCTGGCTTGTGGCTAGACCTGAAATATCAGACAAATGCATTAAGACACCATCATGAAGGCCGGAGACGTTCTGCTGCATGCCAGACACTACAATACCGACACAGCTGCTCCTTGAACAGACGTCTACCTAGTCTTCAAAAGACATTACAGATGAAAACTTCACTCCCACTGAAACCAGTCCGTCCTGATGCCACAGCGCTGCCATCAACTGTCGTGGCGTTTTACAACAAAACGCAAGCGCTATGGGATTTGTTTGTGTCAGACGTGTCGCGAAACACTGACATATGTACCTACTGAGAGGGATTTCAGCGCATTATCTTTCTATTTCTCACCAGCTGGTTAAAATGATGCCGTACTATGAGCATGTGTTGCCAAAATAAACACAATTCTCTAGAACCACATCAGATGCAATTTTCCATAATTATGTTTAGGAAGGTTTCTAAAAATTCCTCCCGTTGGCAAGTTTCTACAGTGCCTATAAGAGAACAGTTCCCTACTGAGAACGCTTTCCCAGGACCTGTGTGCCCAAACAAACGGACACCACAACCCCATATCTTTTTTAAACACATCTCAGACACAGAATGCAAAATACGGGAGCATGCGAGTGATTTAAAGAGTGCAATAGCATTTAATAATGTGTTAATTAGATAAGAAATGGAAAAAGTAATTGCTTGTTTGTGTCAAGTGTCCACATGGTAATAAGGCATATCATCATTTCAATGTGTC